TCCTCTAGTTCCAAATCTTAATCCCTCAGCTCAAAAACATAATCCTCTAGCTCCAAAACTTAATCCTCTAGCTCCAAAATAATACTCCTAGCTCTGAATGATAATTCTTTAACTTAAAAATATTAAAGTTAATTCTAATTAGCTTTTAAACTTTTTAAAAATATATTTTAATACAGATATTTTTTTCATAATTAAATATTAAATATTTATTTTGAAAAAAATCTAAAATTTAATTCTCTTTTCTGCAAACTGTCCAGTATCCGATCAATTCTCTTCTAACATTGAATTTAAGTTTAAATGCCACAAGAAAGGTTTTGCTAGAAAATCTGCCCAATTTACAAGATTAAAAATCAATAGAGGGAAAATTGATAGCAAAGAGGAAATTCAAAATTAGATCTAAGTTTTCTATAAAAAAAATGTCAAACCGATATTTTCTAATATTCACAAGTTTTTATCTTGTATCTTTAAGACCCCATAAAATTCTTGGTTGGAATAACTATTTATAACTGTTATTTTGATACGCTGCAGTATTATAAACTCTTTGGACAGAAATTTTCTCTTTATCGAGAAGGTTCTCGCCTTTTTAGATTTAATTTAATCTAAAAAGGCGAGAACCTTCGAAAGTATAGAGAAAATTTAAATCCAAAAACTTTATAGCTAGTTATGGCAAAATAATAGTGTTACAGGTAATTTTTTAAACGAGTGTGTACTTGTCTTATTTCAATGGCTATTTCTATAGATCAAATAAGCTTTGAAAAAAAGCAGAAGTAAAAACTAAAAGTTTATTTCAATTTTATTTTCATTTCACTTGAAAAAAATTATTTTGAAAATATCCTAAATTTTTTGGAGAAAATCCGGGAACCAATCAAAACATAGCACATAGATAATTTAACTTTATAGCACGATGATTCCTTTATAGCACGTTTATTATGAAATTCACGATGAAGTGAGTAATAATGATAAAGTACTCAATCGTTTCATAAAATGATAAAAGAACTTTTATGAGTTCAATAATGTTATTGACATTATCAAATATAATATTGACAAAGAAGATACAAGAGGTATATTTAATATTCGGTGATGGTGATGGACCAAATCTCTGTAGAGTAAAAAAGTAGATGTTAGTTCCACATTTATTGAAAATATATTTCGGTCTGGGTTGACCCTTGTCAGTTCTAACGATATAATAACCATCAAAATCGATAAAAAAAAAATTTAAAAATTGTTAAAAGCCACAAGAAAATAAACAAACAAAAAAGATTATTTAAAAAAATTGGTTTATCAAATGGATATAAGGGAAACGAACTCAGATTATGAGATAGAAAAAAGATAATTTGCGAATATTCACGTTTTAAAAAAACGTTTCAAGACAATTATTATTCCTTGAGATTGTTTTTGTCGCAAAGATTAAAAACAAACCGTTCAGATGTATGTGTATAAACTGTTGGTGGTGGTCGATCTAATTAAAGAACTTTTACGTAAATCGGGGGGAGGGGGAGGGGGGGGGTGGCTTGTTTAAGGAGGGGTATTTAAACCTTTTAAAGAATTGGACATAAACAATACTCTTTTTAAAAAGATACTAAATTACAGTTTACAATTAAATAAAAATTATTTTTTTTCTGTTCATACAAGAAGTATATACTGGATGCAGTAGGGTTTTCATAATTTTGGTTGGTTTTGGTAAACTTTAATTTAAAGTTTCCAATAGTTCAAAAACCATGCATTATGTTAAACTTTGATTTTTTTTATGCATTAAACTTTGCAATATTTTAATCTTTAGAGAGAAAAAAGAAAACGAACCATTTTGTTTTTTTGTTGCAAATATTTTCCCTAAGAATCAAAATTTGGCAAAATATAAGAAAAGCAAATGTTCGGAAAATTTTTTTTTATATTTTTCAGATTTTTTGGGACCTTTTATACGTTTTAAAATCCTGAAAACAGACATAACTAATTGCACATGAAACTACATGTGCAGGTTCTGCCGAATATTATGAAAACTCAGTCAGGTTTAAGAGTTTCTGGTGTATTTGACACGTTGGACAAATTGTTATTTTTCAATATATTGAAGAAAAAAATTATATCTCATTATTGAGTTTTGGGAATCCAGAAATATAAGTTGGAACAAAATGAACAGATTTTTTGCCACAAGCTCTGATTTTATCAATCCTATATCTTTCCAACCCGATTTCGGAGACCTTTATTATTTCAAACTATGAATTCTGTTAGATTTAATGTTTGATGAAAATGTTTTAGAATAAGTATTTTCAATTACATTGGACCAAGCATGGGAAGTTCCGATTTTACAAGAACTATTAAATACAAGAATGAATAATTTATATGTTTTAGGATAAGATGATTACATAATAACTGAAATAATGAATACGGTATGTAATGAGTAATGATCAATGTCGCTTATTTCTGCATAATTTTGCATATTTATTATTTTTTTACTTTCGTTAACTATATATTCAAAATATCTAAACAAATTTAAACTGCACCATTCATATATTTGCATGTATATCTTTGGTGTGAATAAATCTTTATAATATAATAATAATTTATAATATAATAATAATTTAGCCTTTTTTACGTTTGTAGAGCTCAGACATCGAACTCAATTATTTTGTGAAACCATGGTTGAAAATCAGGAAATTGATTTGTCCGAATGTTCTAAGAACTGCTGTCAGAAAAACAAAATGATTTAATTACCAAATTAATGAGAATTACGCCTGCAATAATAATACTGAACCAACCTTATCACACTGGTTTTTATTAGGATTTTAGACAAAACTTTTTAGATGTCAAATCTGTGGTTGAAACTTTTGTATTCTTAGTCCACTTAAAAAGCACGCATTCGTTTTTTTGGGATATCTTTAAAGAAAGTCAAAAGGAGATATATAAAAGGAGGTATATAAAAGGAGGTATATAAAAGGAGGTATATAAAAGGAGATATATAAAAGGTTGCCACTGCAGAACCAAGATTAGTTTTATAATCAAAATCAATCCGAGACAGCATTTATTAAAAAAGCAAAAAGTAGTAAAACTGGGCAAAGATAGTTAAACTACTTGATTAGTTCGCCTGAGAGTTAACTCTAAAGAAGTTGCTTAACGTCTTAATTCTTCCTTTTCATAAAATCTGACTTTATTTATACGGTACTTTGTCCCAAGTTTTGAAACCCCAGTAACATTTACCATATCCTGCCCTAAGTTTAAAAACTCGGGTTTCAAACCAGTATCCTGTCTTAGTTTCAAAACTCGGTTTTAAAACCGATCCTGATTTTAGTTTGAACCCCTAGTTTTGAACCAGAAAACCTGTTTTATATAAGTTTGAACCCAGTTTTATAACCGATACCAGTCTTAAGTTTGAAACACCAGTTTTAAACTTGTAGATATAACCAAATTCAGCAATTTTTTAAATATAATATAATATAATATAATGCAAAGAGAGTTATTTATATAACCAAATTCAGCAATTTTTTAAATATAATATAATATAATATAATGCAAAGAGAGTTATTTATATAACCAAATTCAGCAATTTTTTAAATATAATATAATATAATATAATGCAAAGAGAGTTATTTATATAACCAAATTCAGCAATTTTTTAAATATAATATAATATAATATAATGCAAAGAGAGTTATTTATATAACCAAATTCAGCAATTTTTTAAATATAATATAATATAATATAATGCAAAGAGAGTTATTTATATAACCAAATTCAGCAATTTTTTAAATATAATATAATATAATATAATGCAAAGAGAGTTATTTATATAACCAAATTCAGCAATTTTTTAAATATAATATAATATAATATAATGCAAAGAGAGTTATTTATATAACCAAATTCAGCAATTTTTTAAATATAATATAATATAATATAATGCAAAGAGAGTTATTTATATAACCAAATTCAGCAATTTTTTAAATATAATATAATATAATATAATGCAAAGAAAGTTATTTCAGAGGTGTACGCATCTTTTGTACTGCAGAATACTGTCTCAGCGGTAATGTAAACACAAGACGGATGTCGAAGCCTGACGTGGGATCCATCTTTCACATAAAAAATCAATGAAATATTCTGGTCATAGGAAACTATTCTGTGAATTATCAAACATTTCAAATTTTAATGCTTTTAACCACCTCGAATACTAGAGGAACACTGAGGCATCTATTCTTGTTTACGAATTCCGCCTAGAGAGAACTGGTTTCAATATGTGCGCAGAGTATACGCAACTGTAATTAACTTTCCTTGCATTATAACCTTGACTCTACACTGTTTCTGGTCTGGAATTCAAATCTCTGTACAAAACTACAAGAAATATTCCGGGTTGATTGAGAACATCCGAAATAAGTTGTATTTATGAAACAAAAAATCTTAAATTCTTGTGCGCATGAGCGCAAAGCGTCAGTCGGTATAAACAGGTACTTTTAGTATTTGGTCAACGTAAAAAAATGAATATAGTGCATGGAGGGTAAGGGTGGAGGGGGGGGGGAGAATGTATACAAGTGGAACCGTAGAACTCTGCAGTTAGTCAGGACGGGTCGGACCCAGCTGAGCAGGATTAGGGAAGGAGATCTCAGTTGGTCTGTATCAGTCTAGTCTCTAGTATAGGAACTCTCCATCCTCCACACTACTCCGGGTACACATAGAAACACGGGAATACCGAGGAATCATGGATCACATGTTTTCGTGACAACTTTGATCATCCGATAGTTATTGATATGTTATATTATTGTTACCGAGTGTTTTCCATTAATATATCCACCTGCCATGTTCAGTAAATGTTAATCTAACCTTGCGAAACATTGATAGAATATGAGAATGTATTATGAGAAGAAGGAAAGCAGGATATCATCAATTCTGTCGTGAAAAATTTTCTTTCTTTTTTAATTGAATTTAAAGAATTATTTAAAAAAAAGATTTGACCTGAAAACTTCAAGTTTTTGTTGGAAATTTCTTTTAAAATTTTACCGTTTTGTTTGAAAATTTCAGAAAAATGTATTTACGAATATTTTTATATTTTCTGATATTAATTTGCTGGTTACTGGAGGTTCTCAGTTATCAGGTAATATAAGGATGGTTGGGTGGAGGGGGGGGGTTTAGTGGCCCTGTGAAGAAGATTGAGGTTCTTTCCCCAACCCCCACTCCATTTTTATAAAAAAAAACCTTAATGATAAATATTTACGTATTAGTATGTTTAAGGTTTAAACTATAGCATTGACGCCGTATACAGATGGATTTGTTGAATGGTTTTCATGGTCTAGGTCTTGCATTCCTCTCTCTCTCTCTCTCTCTCCCTCTCTCTCTACGATATTAGCAGTCTCTGTATATAAGATACGAACTTGAAATTATCCTAGCGCGATCTAATAAGACCTGAATGGTATGCAAAGTAAATACTACTGTATATGACATGTATTTTGATCCCTTCCTTGTTCCATGAATCCAATAAGATTCCTTAAATCCCATTCAGGTTCTTTCAATCCCATTCTGGTTTTTTCAATCCCATTCTGGTTCTTTCAATCCCATTCTGGTTCTTTCAATCCCATTCTGGTTCTTTCAATCCCATTCTGGTTCTTTCAATCCCTTTCTGGTTCTTTCAATCCCATTCTGGTTCTTTCAATCCCATTCTGGTTCTTTCAATCCCATTCTGGTTCTTTCAATCCCTTTCTGGTTCTTTCAATCCCATTCTGGTTCTTTCAATCCCATTCTGGTTCTTTCAATCCCTTTCTGGTTCTTGCAATCCCTTTCTGGTTCTTTCAATCCCATTCTGGTTCTTTCAATCCCATTCTGGTTCTTTCAATCCCTTTCTGGTTCTTTCAATCATCTCCGGTTTTTTTAATCCCTTCTTGTTTTTTTTCAATTCTCTGCTGGTTCTTTCAATCCCCTCCAGGTTCTATCTACCCTTCCTGTTTATTTCAATCCTCTTTTTTTTTTCAATACCTTCCTGGTTCTATTAATCCTCTCCCGGTTCTTTCAATTCCTTCCTTGTTCGTTCAACCTCTTCCCGTTTCTTTCAATCCTTTTCCAGTTGTTTCAATCCTCTTCCAGTTCTTTCAATCCTCTTCCAGTTGTTTCAATCCTACTCCAGTTGTTTCAATCCTCTCCCAGTTCTTTCAATTCCTTCCTGGTTTGTTCTACCTCTTTCCGCTTTTTTCAATCCTTTTCCCGTTTCTTTCAATCCTTTTCCCGTTTCTTTCAATCCTTTTCCACTTGTTTCAATCCTCTTCCAGTTTTTTCAATTCTCTTCCAGTTGTTTCAATCCTCATCCAGTTTTTTTTCAATCCTTTTGCAGTTGTTTTAATCCTCTCCCAGTTCTTTCAATCCCTTCCTGGTTCGTTCAGCCTCTTCCCGTTTCTTTCAATCCTCTTCTAGTTGTTTCAATCCCTTCCTGGTCATTTAAATTTCTTCATAGTTCTTTCAATTCACTCTTAGTTCTTCTGTTGCTTTCAATCCTCTTCTTTTTATTTGGGTTGATCTTGATATAAATAAATCTTCCGCTCTTTAGAATTTACTTGCAGAAAAAATTAGCGATAAGAGTTAACCTTGATATTTGACTAAGTGATGATGTAATTAATTAAGAAAACAGTCATTTCTTGAAATATTTGAATTCTGATGAGACAGTATATTGAACCTTGCTCTCTAATTTACGAAACTTCTAGATTCATTGCTGGGCAAAACGTTACATTCTTATCCTTATTGTAGTTATTATCCATTTATTAAACGAATGGTTTATGTTTTTTCAAACCCAGATGTTTTTCGTTCATAAACTTCTTAAAAGGTGTGATACAGGGTACAGGATAGTTGGATACAGGGTACAGGATAGTTGGATACAGGGTACAGGATAGTTGGATACAGGGTTCAGGATAGTTGGATACAGGGTACAGGATTTTTGGATACAGGCCTGCAGAGGCATATTCAGGAATTTGTCCAGGGGGGGGGGCTTAATTTTATTTCTTTCTATGGGGGGGGGGGCCCCATAGCCCCTCCCCTTAATACGCCTCTGATACAGGGTAAAGGATAGTTAAAACGGTGAATACAGGGTACAGGATAGTTTAAAGGGTGGATACAGGTTACAGCATAGTTAGATACAAGGTGTAGGATAGTTTAAAGGCTGATACAGAGTACAGGATAGTTTAAAGGCTGATACAGGGAACAGGAGAGTTTAAAGCCTGGTAAAGGGTACAGGATAGTTTAAAGGGTGGATACAGGTTACAGCATATTTGGATACAAGGTGTAGGATAGTTTAAAGGCTGATACAGAGTACAGGATAGTTTAAAGTCTGATACAGGGTACAGGATAGTTTAAAGGGTGATGCAGGGTACAGGATAGTTTAAAGGGTGGATACAGGTTACAGCATAGTTGGATACAAGGTACAGGATAGTTTAAATCTGATACAGGGTACAGAATAGTTTAAAGTCTGATACAGGGTACAGGATAGTTTAAAGGGTGATACAGAGTACAGGATAGTTTAAAGGGTGATACAGGGTACAGGATAGTTTAAAGTGTGAATACAGGTTACCCGTTACAGCATAGTTGGATACACAGTACAGGATACAGGATAGTTTAAAGGGTGGATACAGGATATAAAGTTAAAAATTACAAATACTTGCAGTTTACATTGGTTAACGTGTTCGGCGTACAATTCATGTGTAATGGACTATTATTGTATTTGAGTGCGCGCTCACCCGATGGCGGTTTGGGTTCTCCAAACTAGGGGGAGGGGGGCCTTTCAGATCCTACTCCTGATACTCCTAACAGATAAATACTAACCTTGAGTAATCCTGGTTCATTGTAAAATCTACTTAGATTTATCCCCAGTGTTGGAATCAAAACAGATAAAAAATTTAGTAAGAAGTGTCTTGAAGGATGAATAATGTATTTGATGTATTATCCACTTTCTGAACCGAAACTTCGATAAAAGGTTGTTTAATGACGCAGTATATTTAATATTTAGTTGTTTTCAATTTTTTTAAATATCAAATTTTGTTCTCTTAAGATGCCTTGAGTGCGGTAGAGTAGTCAGAAGGATACTAGAGTAAATTCGTAGATAATAAATTATTCTCTTTAGTCATCTGACATTTTAACCAAAATGTTTTTTGATACAATGCAGCGTTTAATTTCTACTGTATTTAGATATATTTGAACATTATCATTTCCTGTATCTAGGTTTACATGAACCCTATTATCTCCTGTATCTAGGTATACCTGAATCCTAATATCTCCTGTATCTAGGTATACCTGAATCCTAATATCTCCTTTATCTAGGTATACCTGAATCCTAATATCTCCTGTATCTAGGTATACCTGAATCCTAACATCTCCTGTATCTAAGTATACATGAACCCTATTATCTCCTGTATCTAGGTATACCTGAACCCTAATATCTACTGTATCTAGGTATACAAGAACCCTATTATCTCTTGTATTCGATATATCTAAATACGATTTAAATTCTAATATAACCAAGATATAGCTGACTAAACCTTAAACCCTTGTCTAGGTGTGCCTTGGTTCAATATTACTCTCTTATCTTGTAACTGGAGGAACCTACACTTTATACCTGATATATCACAGTGCTCCAAGAGATTTAAGGTAATTCAACATATTTTCTTATGCAGGTTTCAATCCAAATTACAAAATTGTACAATTTACGATGTAAATGTAACACAATATAAAATATACATTTATTCTAGAGGTGCGTTTAGATATCTAAGATTACTGATCATGGTTTATTTCTACCAGAAGCAAAACCTGACAGTTCCTTCAGTTTTCCAGAGAACAGCAAACAAATATCCTAATAGAGTCTGTTTACATTTTGAGGACGAGAGTTGGACTTTTAAACAGGTGAGGGTTCGAAGTATTTATCCTAGGTAGGGTTCGAATTATAATCCTTGGGAGGTGTATATCCTGGAGAGAGTTCAAAGTATATATCCTGCAGAGGGCTCGGTGTATATATCCTGGGGAGGGTTCTGAGTATATATCCTGGTAAGGGTTCTGAGTATATATCCTGGTGTCGGAGTATATATCCTAGGGAGGGTTCTGAGTATATATCCTGGAGAGGGTTCGAAGTATATATCCTGGAGAGGGTTCGGAGTATATATCCTGGGGAGGGTTCAAAGTATATTTCCTGGAGAGGGTTCGAAGTATATATCCTGGGAGGGTTCGGAGTATATGTCCTGGGGAAGGTTCGGAGTATATATCCTGGGGAATGTTTGAAGTATATATCCTGGGGAAGGTTCGGATTTTATGTCCTGGGGGAAGGTTTGGAGTTGTTTATAATGGTGAGGGTTTGAAGTTTATATCCCGGGGAAGGTTCGGAGTATATGTCCTGGGGAAGGTTTGGAGTTGTTTATAATGGTGAGGGTTTGAAGTTTATATCCTGAGGAAGGTTTGGAGTTGTTTGGTGAGGGTTTGAAGTTTATATCCTGGGGAAGGTTCGGAGTATATATCCTGAGGAAGGTTCGGAGTTGTTTATAATGGTGAGGGTTTGAAGTTTATATCCTGGGGAAGGTTCTGAGTATATATCCTGAGGAAGGTTTGGAGTTGTTTATAATGGTGAGGGTTTGAAGTTTATATCCTGGGCAGGGTTCGGAGTATATATCCTGAGGAAGGTTCGGAGTATATATCCTGTGGAGGGTTTGAAGTATATATCTAGTGAGGGTTCGAAGTATATATCCTGGGGAGGGTTCGTAGTATATATCCTGGGGAGGGTTCGGAGTATATATCCTGGGGAGGGTTCGGAGTTTATATCCTTGGGAGGGTTCGGAGTTTATATCCTGGGGAAGGTTCGGAGTATATATCCTAGGGAGGGTTCCGAGTGTTTATAATGGAATTAGATTATTAATGAAAGAGCTTATTTACAAGCAGGGGAATAATAAAATTATAAAACATCGATGAGATGATCAAAGGGGTTATAAGACCCCCCCCCCTTTTTATTATTGAGAAAAACTGAAAATATGGCCTCCATAGCAGGGTGTTTGTTTGGGGAAATAATTCTGTCATCTCCGAGCAAAATCCTGGTAGAAACACCTGTTCGACACACTTTACAAAAACAGGGATCCATCTCTTTAAAGAACTAATGGACGCGGTTCGTAATCTACCCGATTTAGTTTGCTTATATCAACGATTTCTTGGAAATGCAAAACTCTTTTTTTTTAATCAATATTTAATCAATTCTTTCAATTCTTAAACACGAAGTCTCACCTTTGTTTTCTTTCTGTTAAAGTAATGTAGAATTTGATGTTTTTCTTTTTTCTTTCATTGCTCAAAATAGATTTTTTCTTTTTATTATTGTACTCTGGGTTAAATCCTTCTGTAAGCCAAGATGCCAGGTTCTAATCTTATATTTCTCTTGAGAAAATTAGAATTCTCCTGTTTGTTTCTAAATGGTTTCACTTTAAGGAAACCCAAGATTGGAGAAAACTTCCATGGTTGCACATTTAACAACCAGAGAAGAATAAAAGGTATGAGTTTGATTTAAGGATTGTTTCAGTTGGATGAATATAGCAACAAAATAGCAAACTTTCTCCTGTCTGCCGGGTTCAAACACGGCCAGAGTATTTCCCTCTTCATGGAGAACCGTCCTGAGTACGTTGGAACCTGGTTGGGTTGCTCCAAGATCGGAGTAGTTCCTGCTCTCATAAACTTCAACTTAAGAGGGCAATCCCTGATACACAGTATCCTTGCTTCGACCTCCGTAGCTGTGATATTTGGAACCGAGCTTGCAGAAGGTAACAAGAAAAGAAGAAAGAAAAGTTTATCAAAATAGAAAAAAGGGTGATCTTAGAATCACTCCCTTACTTTTCTATTGGGTTTGAAAATCTTGTGTCCAACTCGAAAGTTAATTTAAAATTTGTTCAGCTATTAGTGAGGTTAGTGAAGACCTGGAGAATATCCGACTGTACAGCTCCGGTAGCAGTAGTAGACCAACAACCCGGAGATCATTCCACACCTGCTCTTTAGATAGAGAACTCCAGAACCACTCCCACCACGATGTGCCTGAATCTGTGAAGAAATGTTTAAGTTTCACTGATAAACTCCTGTATATCTACACTAGCGGAACAACAGGACTACCTAAAGCTGCTGTTGTTAAAAACTCAAGGTTAGGATCAAGTATTATGATGAAAACTGTTGTCGATATTGAAGATAATATTGATGTTGATGTTGCTTTTGTTGCTGATATTGATATTAATACTATTGTTGATACTAATGTTGTTGCTGATGTTGATGCAGATGCTAATACTAATGTCAATAATCCGATTGATGTCATTAATATTGCTACTTTTGATGATGGTGTTGGTACTGATGACGATGTTGTTGCTGATATAGTTGTTGATAATGATGTTGATGTTATTCCTGATATTGTTAAAATGATGCTGAGACTGATGTTGATGTTGATGCATATATTGCTGCTAATATTGATTCTGTTAATGCATGCTAATATTGATGCTGATGCTAATGCTGATGTTGATGCTTGTATAGAAAATATTTTTAGATTCTATTTCTACTGTGGAGGTGTGTACTATATGAATGCAATGTATAGAATGAATGAGTTAGGTAAACATTTTTTTTTTTACATATTTTAAAAGATTAGTATTCATATTGCATAGTGTTGTATATTATAGATAATACTTAGCTTAGTATGGAGGAGTGAGGCG